CGGAATCGCACCAACGATTCTTTACATATCTGCCGTCACATATGCCAGAATAGCACCAACGATTCTCCACATATCCACCGCCAAATATGCTACAACACATCTGCCGCCACATATTCCAGAATCGCACCAACGATTCCCTACATATCTGCCGCCAAATATGCACCAACACAGACAGAAATCGCACCAACGATTTCCTACAGACCCATCGCCACATGTTACTCATGAGGTGCGGTCTAAAGTTTAGAGTATGAGTATACAAGCATTCTTAATCAAATTTGGTCTCACTACCACTGTCATCAACTATGACATCTAATTCTCGAGGAACTTGGTGATCGGGGATCTTCCTCACATGATCATGGGGGTATTTTTTACTTTGCACACTAAACTTGTGACAGATTTCGGTTAAATTTACAAATTTTTTTACACTTTTGCCCCAACACAATCTTTGACGAGAGGGCATTTGGCCCTGAATCATAATAAAATGGGTACGACTAACCAGTATTCATCAGCACACCACTGAGTTTGCTCACATAGCAGACGTAAACACATCGCTCCCTGCTCGCCGCTGCGGCAGGCATAAGGCTAGCGGACGTGGCTACTAAAACAACAGCTCACACCATAATTAGCCGTCATGAGGCAAGCTCACGTGGCTAAAAGAACAGCACACGGCGTGCCGCACTCGCACCAACGAGTCGTCGCATGTCACCATCGCCAGCGAGATGCTGCACCGTACCACGCACTCCAAGCGTCAACGGAAGCAGCAGGTTCACCTGAGGGTTCACAGGCATCGTCGGGATTGTAGTCATCGTGATCTACGTGAAAAACAAGTTGTTAATTATCAGGACAACATACACAGTTGCCTATTCTCTCATCCATCACACATACGAGGCCCTCAAACAGAAATACGCTCTCATACAGTGAACTATAATAAAGCACTTCGCTTTCACAAGTGCGCATACATCTCCATACGAAGTATCTCACACACACTCTTGAACTTGCGAGATCCCACGTTAACCACGTGAACCACGTTAAAAACGTGGACCAGGACAGCGCCTGCCAGGACAGAGCCTGATACATGTTTAGAAAACACTACTGCGCACACAGAGTATACGACTTCCGCGCACACAGTGTATGACTTCCGCGCATACTGAGTACACGACTTCAGAGGCATCGCCATGTATAGCATACACACGCTCCGGGAAATCACCCGTCACGCGTACAGCATACGCGTGTGCCGAAGCCAGGCCTTGCTACATCTGGACTCGGCAGTCAGTTCCGACCAGCAAGGCACACCATCGCCTTACGCTCGCGCACACGTGTAATCACATCACACGTACTACTGTAACACAAAAGGAAACATTAAAAATATTCAATAAGAACTTTTTTTTTTCAAAAAAGTGCAGCACTACTCTCGAGACACCGTTCGCCTTTCCAGGGCACCATATACTGGGCTGCATCTACACGACAACCTCTGGTATGGTCCTATCCTCACGTAAATTTAAATACTCTCTTCAATGTCAGAACTAATTGGCTCTACTTCACTTTCATCAGTTATACTTTGGTTTTCCGGCATTTATCGCAACCAATTAAAAATGTAAACACTTAATCTTACAAAATATTTTTTAAGACAATGTTTAGGATAAATTTACTTTACTCATGTTGTATCAAACGGTGATCGGTAGCAGCGGCAAATAAAATGTCCGCGGCGTCATAATTCTACAGCATATTTCCACTCAAGAGCGAGTGCCACAGCACCACATCTTCCACGAAGCCCTCAACATCAAATCCCAATTTTATCGACTATGTAATACTCGCAGTAAATTGTAACACTTATCAACACATTAGAACACAAAAATATTACTTGTTGTTTTTAATTCATAGCACGTTAAAGTAAACATGTTCCCTTTTTAGTACATCGTTTAAACATTTTGAAATTTAAAATTAGCTCATGTAAATCACACCTCGTGTATCAAATTATAACGTAACTCGAGCAAGTTAAACTTCCACAGAATGCGAACTATAACTCATTTAGAATACCTCCATCATTTCTTTTGACATTTGTTATCATATTTGGGTACGTTTAGAAATAATGAAAGTACTTGCGGGTATTTTTTATCATTAATCGAACAAAAAGATTTGACTTTTAGCTTAAAACATTTCACTTTAAACTTTATTCGTCAGTGTTGTAAATACGACAACAAACTTGATTTAAGAAATTAAACACAAAAACAAAACGCGAGGCTTATCATAGTATTTCACCAACGTAATAACCCTCACACTATTCAAAGGTTATAACAGGTGGGCAGTAACAGGGACTTTATCCCACTTCTGATATCGGAAATGACAACAGGAGATCCCACTTCTGATGTCGGAGAATTACAAGCGAGGATCCCTATTTAGATCTTGGAAATACATCAGGATAGCGTTAATTGTTAAAAATAATAAAAGTGTGAGAGCGGATGTTCAACTTGCTCTCTTGCTTACGCAGTTTAATCATTATCAGTAATAAGACAACGTAACGCACTATACATTCAGTATAGTGAAATTACTGTTCGACCACACCGTAACACGTCTCTGCCACAATCACACACGAGTGTAACGTGAGGTACGTAATTACATGATAACACCAAAACATGTAAACCAACAGCAACACTACTTATCTCCATGTAACACTGGGCAGCCTCTCAGCAACACCAATTCTCCTTGCCTGCACTAGAAGAATTACAACAACGAACAGAACCACGACACTATCTTAGCACTAGTCGAATAACCACACTCGTTGAATGACTTAAGCGGAATCTCTCGCGCACGGCACCTACAGTGAACTTTATACTACAGACACAAGAGGGGGTTTCTCGATATACCCTCCATTCTACTTCGATCCAACCGGGTATTTTATAGACGCTCCGACATACATATGTTGTCTTATGCTATACAATATTTTTATTTTTTCCTTAAATTTTTCACATGCGTCATGTGACAACCCTATCAGAATAGGTATACATTTTCGACGTTGTTAAGAAGCTTCCCCTCTGGTCCTTACTCTTTACTCTGTACTCTGACTGAGCCGACGCAAACCGGTTTGTACCCCGACGGAGCGTCGATGAACCTGTCGGTGAGAGCTCACGCACACATCGCTGCGCTATGTATGGATGTATTCGCAGCGAGGAGTTTGTATGTAGCTTCCCCTCTGGTCGGTTTCTTTACTCATGTGATGCCGCTACTAGTAAAAATAAAAAAAATATGAGTGGAGTCAGCGTGCGAAAGAATATTCTCTCAAATAAATTTAATTAAGACAAAAACACGAAACAGATTTAGGTATAAAGAAACATAGCGTCTATCTTGCACGTTAAACAAGGCATTGATGACTTGCTGAACATGGCGATTGCATTGCATTCAAACCAACGAAAGATATGCCTAATTTTGATTTAATAAAAATATAGCATTTAAATATGTACTTTTACTTTTCTTAGTTTAATACAATAGTGAGACACAATATGTATTTTAAAGATCGTCACACGCATTATTTATATCTATTTATTTTTATACATATCAATTTTTTTGTTTTGAAATTTTAAAACATCCGCAAATAGACATGTCCGCAAAGATAGATAAATAGGGGCAGACTGGGCCTACAATGATCGCTGTCGACGGAGACGGGGCAGCAATGCGGACAAAAAGTACGCCTGCTGTAGGTTTTTTTTCTTGGATAAAATACTGCTAGTATCTGCTAAAGGCGCTAAAATTCTTTGAATCAAATTCAGACGCGCTGACTGGCTTGAGGAACAGCGTGATTAAGGCGCGAGTGCACTTCGCTTTCAACCCCATCCAGGGCCACAAAGTACTAACTCCAATTCAGAGATTTCCAGTTCCATTCGACCACATTCATTCATCTGTTATAAGCAATGCCTTTAATACCTCATCCGCCTAGTTGCATTTAAAAATGGCCGTGTAGTGGCGGTGTCAGAATATCCACTACCCCATATCGTCCCGTGGGTGTTGTAAGAGCTAATAACAACTAAAATATAAAAATAATTAAAATAAAAAAAAAGCTATTGATAGGTCCAATTGTGCATGTCTCAAGCGCATTAAAAAGAATACGTAAGTATACGTAAATTTTTAAAGTAGTTTTATTACACACATGTTTTCACAAAAAACCTTATAATCATTACTAGGTATACTTCCAATTTTCCGATAGTTAATGTGAAATTTCAATTAAAAAAAAAGCTTGAAAAATCCAAAAATGCACGACTCATAAGATCGCTAAAAAATTATAAATTGTGGTTCTATTCATCAAAGAATTCCAGTAGCAGTCACCGAAGTACACCTTCAAGACACTCCATCAAGTTCGGATGTAAGATCTCATCATAACGAAAAAAATGAGCCCAAACTCGGCACACCTAGTTCTCCTTTTCGAGGAGTTTCAGTAGCAGTTACCGAAGTACACTTTCAGGTCATTTTATCAAGACCGGAGTTAAGCTTTTTTTTATATAGTACAAGGGCGACACACGAGCACACAGTCCACCTGATGGTAAGTGGTTGCTGTGGCCCATAGACATCTACATCTATCTTCGATTACGAATGAAAATGCAGATGCGTTGTCACCCGTGAGGACTAAGATGGAATGCCTCGTTTCCAGTAAAAAGAGTCTCCGGTTCTCTACACTCACCATACGAAACACAACACATTTGATGCAAGTGGGGAAACCGTATTTTGCTTACATCCGTTTTGACTGATCACCGTGTGTATCGCAGCTTAGCTCTTAATAAGACCTTTTAGACATAGGTAATATTATGTGAATAAAGTGCTAGCGTTACGTAGTACTATTATTTATTCTGTGCTAGCGTATACACTTAAATTCTGCACAATTGTTACTTATAAAAAGCATTTACATATGGTCGTAGTCGTTCACGTAGTTGTAGCTGAAAACAGGAAACCACAATCGTCACCTGCCAGATCCTCAATTGTAAAACTTAAATGGGTTAATAAAACTAAACATTCCATATTAACAAATAATTTTAATTAAAGCTTTGAACATTCTACAGCAATATGCCTAGAATTATTGCCATTCAATGATAAAGAGTAAAGACTAATTCTTAAAAAATAATCAACGCAACAAACATTGTTTCTATAATTTAAAACCTACAGTAAAGTATATTTTGTAAATTTGCTACAAAAATTTGAAAATTTCATCGTCAAATATTGCTTATATTAATTGTTTGATTGTTCAATGTCATTTTAGAATTAGAATTCTAATAAAAAATATTTACTAGGCATACTAATTAAATTGACGAACTAAATCTAAGTGAACACTCAAACGCAATAGTTAATCTACAAAATGTAGATAGCTTTAGAACTAAGCTAGACTAAATTAAACAATAATCTTATATCCTATAAAAAACACTAGTACTTCAGAGATTTCTTATATATCAAATTGAATCAACAAGATAAAATCTGTTTTAAAAAAAGTTTTATATAAGTTGATGCAAATGTACTATAAATTTGTACGATTTCGCGTTTACTTAGCTTTTCTATAAATCATAAATCATCATCTAATAAAGCATCGATGTCATTAAGCAAATCTTTTTCACTGTTATCGTTTTTACTTAAATTTTTATGACAACTTGCTACTACATCGGGTACGTTCTTAACTAGACCTAAATCAATATCTGATAGAATTACGTCATTCTCATCTACATCCTCACACAAGTCAACGATATCAACTGGATCACCCATTTTAGTAGATTCTACATCGATTATTTCTGTATCAGATAATTTATCTATGTTATGATTTTCAGACATCTCAATACCAACAAATTGTACTTCTGAATCAGATTCAATGTCAGTTTTATTACTAAACTCAGCTTCATTATCTTTGCCATCGCTGTTCGTCGTACAACTACTAGCGTGCCTATTTCGAATCAGTCTAGGTTTCGAAGTTTGCTCGCCGATTTTAATTCTTTTAAATTCATAACAGTTATCAACTAATTCGTCTTCTTGCATATCATAAATATCACTTTGTTCAGAAAGAGTACGCTTTCTCCTTTCATTTTCATTGCGTTTCTGTTCTGTTTTGGATTGATTACATTGAACAGAAGCGTTATGATCAACTTTTTTGTAAACTATTGAATTGTTTCTAACTACTTTAATAATTTTGTTACCTGTGGCGGTATTGATTTCTTGAGTAGACAGCTTTCTTTTCCTACTCAAGTTCAATGTTATCGGTGTGCTGTGTAGAATCGTATCGTTACACTTTTTCCTAGCTCTAATTTCATCTAACGAGAGCACCTTAAAATCTAAAGAATTCCGGCGTTCTGCTGTCTGTGTCTTACCTGATATTTCGTCTAGTGACAACCGATCGTATTTGGATGATAAGTTTGTTCTCACAATTTTACGTTCTTTAGACTGGTCTATAACCGGCTGTGCTTCATAACTGTAGAAGGCTGCCGCCTCAGCTTGGATCTTCTCGAGTAATAACAGCTCCTGAGATTTGGTGCGCGCAATTTTCTGTGCATCGTCGGGCGAGATCGTTTTAGTGGGTGTTGAGGAGGGAGCGCTTTCATTATCCGACTCTGCAAGAACACACGAAGCAACCGCTTAATCGTCAACGCGATCTGAACACGCGTATGATTTTCGTAATTAGTTTTGATGCGACCCGTCACGTTTACTAGCGGTGTGTTCTTGCCTGTGCCGTTCTGAAAGCGACGCGGGATGGGGCGGTCAAAAATAATTACAAAAATCATATTACGAAACGTTTTTATTTACTCGTTCGATAAATTAAACACAATCTGAATTAAAACAAAGCCAAAGTATATGTTTTTCCTCCAATATCAGTTCCTATATCAGAAAGTTCACTAGCTTAAACAAAATGGTGTAACACACTCAGAGCTATACTTTTAAACGTAGCGTAGTTTCAATTATTTAAATAACCGTATGACTAACATTAAATTAACAAAATAACAACCCCGTATGGTGTGAATAAGACAAGGAGCACGATAAAAATATTACTATGTAGATTTTTACATCTTTCTTAGTGTTGTCTACTTAAGAAGGATGTAAAAAGCTAACTGCACTATTTATTACATAAAGGTACAAACAAGTGCTGGCCTTTCAAACATCTAAAGATTTCTTTGACAAATTCCAGGTTTTTTTACATATACATTGTATCAAAATCTTTGCATCCCGATCACTCTGCTATAGACAGCGCTAACCATACCACAAGTCTATAGAAACTATATCCTCATAAATGGACGACATGACTAAATTATTACATTTCTTTTTTTTTTCAAAACCATTAACAATATATAACATTAGTAAAATATTGCGACTGTTAACATAAGGTAATAAAATTCATCAAGCAACAGTCGCCCACAGGTCAGACAGAACTAAACTAAACATAATAAATACTGAAAAAACTGGGTACAAGTACAAGGCAACTGGTACAATACAATCAGTATGAGCGAAACCAATATAGATAAAACGCTGCCCATATAAAACAACTGCCATATTTATACTATACTAATTTCATAAAATGTACTAGCATCATATTATATTTTGATATTACTCTGAATAGAGAGAATTTTCCACATTATGATGGTCGAAAAAGAGCAGTAATAATGTTAACTAGTTAGATATTTTTTTTGTTTCATCAAACACTACCACCGCCAATCGAATGTATTTTTCTTTTGCTTTATTCACTTCATCATAGAAATGATAATTATTTTCATACATAAATAATGACTAGGCATATAATGGACCCTAAACAAATTTAAATATTTTAGTTTCCCTTTTTTGCTGTTTGTTTTTGTAATCATAGTAAGTAATATAGGAACTTTTCTCTCAGTGCAAAAATATAAAAAACATTCAACTGAAAGAATATTATATTCATCTAATCATGACTTACATCAATGTACTATTCATGAATCATGGTAGTCGAAAGCATTTTTGTATTACCAACAGCTGCTAAGCAATGACTTGCTATTTTAGGTTTTTCTTTATTTTATTTAAGTTGGTAATACTATAATTAGCACAAAAATTTCATCCTTTATTTAGAGAGCACAATAATCTGTTCATGCCACATTAAAAATTCAGTCATTGGATTGCAGTGCTGTGCTTTTAAATATCTAATTTTCACTTCATTATGTCTATCTCACGGTGCAAAATACTAAGTATATGGGGGCTCACTAGCGATGAACAAATTTATATACTGCTAAGCCCCTTGAACTCCCTACTCACTAATATACAATCAATTTAAAATGCATAAAGCTTTTTTTTATTTTTTTTTCTTCTGCTTATAATTAATGAGTTACAATATTTGTGTATATATATTTTTATTTGTATTTTCATATATTATTAAACCTAAGTATTATGTACTTTTCTATCATAGACCAGGATTATATTTATATCAACATCTATTTAAAAAAAACAAACATCTAGCACAGTCATATTTCCAAAAATCATTGGCAGTCACATCAACATTGATTAAAAATAAGACTGCATGACACTATATTAAACGCTATATAATCTTACATAAAAAAGCGAAATATGTTTATGAATCTAATTAGCTAAGATATGAGAAAAGTTATAGTCTATAATAATTTATTTATTGCACATACAAAAATACCGACTTGATTTTTACTAAAGCATTTTCAAATCGGGATTATGAGAGCTTAAAATTCTTATTCAATCACTCTCATAATTATTGCATTTTGCATATAAAAAGATAAAGTTTGAATTAAAGAAAAAGCTGCCACTTCTGGCAATAGTTTAGTAGAATCAAATAAATCTTTTTCTTTTCATGATTCAGTAACTTTATAGATAAAATTCAATAGATATTTGCATAAAATGAAACTACGTTTTTTTTTTGCAATTGTTTCGGAAATCAAAGATAAAAGTAAAAAGAAACGAAACAATATTTATCTGACACTAAACTCAACTATCACATTGATAAATACTTTAATTGACAACCAGTCAATAAAAAATTATAAATGAGCTAAATATAATGATCAATAAGGCATACTATCACTACAAACCAGGAAGTAAAACATAACAATACACTTTTCTAATATAAAGTAAATTATTGGGCTGCTATAGTATACAATAAACTTCCCAGTTCATAGACAGAAATGTATATAAAACAATCTTAGTGAATAAAAGTAAACGAAAATAAATATTGCTTTACACTAACACCCTAATATATGCCCTTTTGAGGAATTCATGTATCGGGCTTTATATATTGGCACATAATTAATAAGGCAATTAAACTCTGTCAATAAATCATGTGTTGGGAATTGCGAATTGCTCGATATACTGGGACAGAATCTAATACGCCGTTAGTGCCACAATCTTCATTGAATTAATCTCTCCTAAGCGCGAAGTGATACTTTATAATAGTGAGTGTTAAAAGTTAAACATTGTTAAATCTAAACTCTACACAAATCGCTCGTAAGTAGAGAATGTATGAGTTGTCAACTTGTTCAATTTTCCTGTATTTCATATGAAATTGCTTAATAATATGATCACATTACTGTATTAATTCACTATTTTTTTTAATCCTCAATCTCTATAATACTTAAAGAGGCATATTGGGAACATCAGCTGAAAACTCATTCATGCCTCTGTAATTAAATATATATTCGCTGAATATTTTTAAAACCCTCGAAAATATTTTGTCCCAAATATTTATTACTCAAGAAATGTCAACATTTTCGGCGTTTTAAAAACTGACATATTAGCGGAAAGACTATAAGCTCCCAAGCAGTTTGAGAAAGTGAATGTGAATATTTTTCATGTTGTTTTTATTTGAAAGTCCCCCAAAATACAGAAGAATGCAAATATGTAATCTAATATAATACAAAACATTTAAAGAATCCATAAATGATGTTAAAATCTTATTCAATCTCTTTGTTTTATTTTTTTTTCTATTGGAGAATGCAAAAGAAATGACACCTAAAATAACTTAAAATTAGTTAACCATGCGGAAACCAGTCCAGCAATCTCATTATGCTTATTCATTACCTTGACCAATTTCTATCAGTCGATTGTAAAACTAAGCCACCAATAATCAAACACTATCCATTTTGACGGACTATCATCCAACATATATTCACATGACTGCTCTGCCGATTACCACTGGTAATGGCGAGAGTTCCCAAACTGCTGAAATGGGGCTTAGTACATATAGTTTCAGTAGAGACGCATACCTTCCTCGAAGTTGACGACGAGAGGGTCGACCGGTAGCGGTGCGTAGGGGTTCGGTGCTTCATGAGGATGGGGGTGACCGTGAGCGTGAGGTGGTAAGACACGACGGGCTCCCAACAAGTCGCCTGAAGCTGGCAGGACACCAAGTATCGCCGAATCTAGAACAACTGTTGATAACATTGTAAAATATTAAAAAATCTACTCTTCACTAATTATTACACAACATTCTAAAATATAATTATTATTATACTTAAGTAAGATTATCATAAATGAAAAGAGTCTTAACTGCGGGACTTTGGTTTTCTTGCATACTACCATATGACCAAAAGATATTGTACCTTGAGAAGAACAAAAGCATAAGTGGTCTTATGTTGTTTCTTTTTACGCCATCAAAAATAGCAACATTTTCTTATAAGTATTAAGGAAGTAATCTAAATTTTTTATCTGTGCATTTTTATCTATGAAAAAATATATCGATTAAGAAAGTAGTTTTTTTTTTATAGGAAAGGGGGCAAACGAGCATGCGGCTCACCTGATGGTAAGTGACTACCGCCATAATCGATTCCACAAGGAAGTCGTGCGAGGAAGAAAACATCTTCTAAATCGCACAGTGGTGGACCGCCAATCATCCAGATGGTGTGAATGGTATCGGGAGTTCTGCCGCGATGTGCGTTCGTGAAATCTGGCGGCTCGGATTAATCCGAACAATTCCTCAGAGCACTCCCCGTGGTAGATGCGAAAGAAAATGCAAAGGGATGCAACATCTCTTTGCAGTGCCAATGAATCGAGCCGATCGGAAAGGACTCGGTCGTCGACGATTCGAGCCGCTCTGCGCTGAATGCGGTCAAGTGAAAGGAGCTGGCACTGGGGAGCCCCTGCCCAAAGATGGGAACAGTATTCCATGTGAGGCCGAACCTGCGCCTTGTAAAGTTGCAGGCGGTGTACCGGCATGAAATATTGTCCCGTTCTGCTGAGCACGCCAAGCTTTTTAGAGGCCAATTTGGTCTTCTCTTCCAAGTGACCACGAAACTGCACGTCACTCGATATGTCGACTCCGAGGATTCCGATACTGGCTGAGGCAAGAAGAGGAGTGCCTTGAAACTGAGGAGATACGACAAAGGGGTTCTTTTTAACGGTAAACGCGCAAATTTGTGTCTTCTGAGGATTAAACTGGACTAAATTTAGTCGCCGTCAATCCGAGACTTTGTTCAGCAAAGACTAGACTTCAGACACAAGTTTGTTCCAGTACTCAGCGACGTTTTCCCGAGAAATATTGGCACGGCCGGTGTATAAAGCATCACCAGTGCTGTCATCCGCATAGCAATGAATGTTACCAGTTAGCAACATCATTGATATGCAGAAGAAACAGCGTTGGTGATAGCATACAGCCTTGTGGAACACCAGCGTTAATAGGCTTGTAGTTGGAGCATGCACCGTCTACAACGACCTTGATGCTCCGATTTGCAAGGAAGCTGGTGATCCAATTGCACAATTTCTCGGGAAGCCCATAGGAAGGGAGCTTCGAAAGAAGCGCTTTGTGCCAAACCCGATCGAAGTCCTACGCAATGTCCAAACTAACGGCCAAGGCCTTCCCCTTGGACCCTACTGCCTCCGCCCATCTATGGGTTAGGTAGACCAGAAGATCACCAGCTGATCGACCCCGACGAAAACCGTATTGGCGGTCACTAATCAGCTGGTGATCCTCAAGGTACCGCATGAGCTGGCAGTTAATAATGCATTCCATTATTTTGGAGAACAAGGAGGTGATGGCGATAGGCATATAGTTGGACGGGTCTGAGCGGTCGCCTTTTTTAGGGATCGGATGGACAAAAGCTGTCTTCCATGAATTCGGGACTACGCCTTGGGAGTAGGAATACCGGAAAAGACGCGTTAAGACCGGTGCCAACTCCGGAGCACACGTCCTCAGCACAATTGGGGGGATTCCGTCAGGCCCACTCGGATGTCCAGGGAGAGGAGTGCTTTGCGAACCGAGCGCTGTGAGAACAGCACATCCGGCATGGAGCACTCACACCGCGGGATGGTCGGCGGTGTGTTCCCCCCGTCGTCTAGAGTCGAGTTGGATGCAAAAAGAGAGCCTAAAAAGTCGGCTTTGTCTTTTGCGGCTTGGGCCAGTGAGTCGTCCTCCCTGTGCAGAGATGGTAGTGATGGCTTACAGAAATTCCCTTGGACAGCCTTGGCGAGAGACCAGAATGCACGGGTTCCCGAAGGAAGGTGAACTAGTTTCTCGCCAATTCTGCCTATGTGCTCCGACTTTGCCAAGGGGCAATAACTCATTTGAAGGACTTTTTAAGTATGTTGGTGTTTACATCCCGAGTTGCCGAAGCCGCAGCCCAGGCTTGATAACACTCCTGCTTACTGCGTAATGCAGTCTTACAGGAGCGAACAAACCAAGGCTGAGATCTGCCTCCGATGGGTACCACAGATGATGGAATAAATAGTTCCATTCCCTGTAGCACCACATCAGTGACAGAGTCAGCAACAGCGCTGGGATCATCCGGCGAGAAGCAGACCCGCCCCCATGGGTAGGATGCAAAGAAAGACCGCATTCCGTCCTAATCCGCGAACCTGTAATGCCAAACACGGCGGCTACCTGCAGGACGCAACCGCGAGGGGAGCGTGAGTGGCACCACACTCCGGATCGGACAATGGTCCGAAGAGCCGAGAGGGGCATTGACGGAAACTTGATATCCGTCCGGATGAGAGGTCAGCAGAAGGTCCAACAGGGAAGTCTTTCTTGTAATTCCGCTACCATGTTGATTGAGGGAGGGGGGGGGGGATGGGCCTCCGGCCACCTGCACTCACCAGACGAAACGCAGAAGCAGAGCTTCTACTTCAGGCCGGTATTCTGTGAGGTCGTGGTACCAACCCGGCTCGAGCCGGCCCATACGTACAACATAAAAAACTGCCGCGTGACTCTACCACCGTTAAAAGTCACAGTTTTATGGATTACGCAGAAAATAAATAAATAACCTACACGTACATAGCTAAACAACTTTTTAAACTTGAAGAAATATAATCATTAATTTCAGTAAATGTTTGAGTCTTTTTTGTCGTAAAATTTTAAATGATGTAATTCATGTAAACAATATAACAAATTTTTCCTTGTTCAAAATTATTTTTCCCCACTAATTATCACGATTCTAAGGAGCTAAGTATGCAAATACAAAAGGAAAGTTTTCAACACATGTATACTTCCAGTCATTACTTACGGATGTGAAACCTGGGCACTCACCAAACACCACAGAGAAAAGTTGGAACGCTGTCAAAGAGCCATGGAGAGAAGTTTGACAGGAATAAGGAAACAGGACAGAGTAAGATGTAGCATAATAAGGGATAAAACCAAAGTTGTTGATATAATAACCCGAATAGACCAACAAAAGTGGAGATGGACAGGTCACATGA